CCTGAGACTATGGTCCCTAGTTACCCTTCAAGTCTGGAACTGAACTCACTCCTGTGGCTTCTAGCCAAACCACAGACAGCCATATAGAGTGAACATTGGATCAGGTAGATACACTCCTTAGAAGGATCAATCATGGGAGAACATAAGGGCAGTATTTGCACAGGGAAATAGCTCAGGAGGCAGGAATGCAGAGGAAAGGACACACTCACTGCCATCGAGTCGGACCTGACTCATAGCGACCCCTCCTTCTGACTATGCTACCAGAGCTCCTTACATTGTGGGAAATTGTAGTCAATGTCATGAAACAAAATGTGTATGAACTTCTGTATGGAAAATGAATTTGCTTTGTAAACCTTCACCCAAATCACAATAAAAACAAACCAAACACACTGCCATCAAGTCGAACCCAACTCACAGCGAACCTTCCTTGGCTTCTGAGGCGGTATCACTACAGAAATAGAATGCCCAACCTTCCTTCCAAGGAGTGGCTAGGGGGTTTGAATCGCCAGCCTTCTGGTGAGCAGTCAAATGCCTTAAGCGCTACGCCACCAGAGCTCCCAAATCACGATAAAAACTTAAAAAAAAAAAAAAAAAAATTATAGCCTTTGGATCTGGACAGATCCCCCTGAATTCAAGTTTTATGGGAATCATTTGTGTCCCCTGGCCAAATTAACTTTTCTTTCTAAGCCTGTTTCCCTATCTGTGAAAGAGTAAAAAATAATGACAAACCTAACTCATGGGATGGTAATAAAGATTAAGTGAAATAAGCTCATCTTCTCATGTGACAAAACTGTTTTAATTCTCCTGGATCCAGATTTCTGGGTTCATGGTATTGGAGTGACTACCTAGGCCATTCACCCTTAGATGTCCTTTTGAACCTTGAGCCTTTACGGAACTTGTTCCTTAAAATCATTTTTGGTCAAACAATAGCCTAGTAAACAGCTTAGCACAGACCTTTTGCTTAAGGCATCGCATTCTTACGGAAAATTATGTGCAGCCAACTTCTAGAAGCAGGTACTCCAGGGTCTGACTCACTCCCATAGAGTCAATAGCGACCCCCCTTTACCGATGGAGATTGCCCAGTCTTCTTTCTGTGGAGTGGCTGGTGGGTTTGAACTGCCAGCCTTCTGGTTAGCAATCAAATGCCTTAGGCACTACACCATCAGAGCTCCCAGGGTACTAGAGGATGTGTGGTATGTCCAGTGTGACTCTGTAAGGACAGATCCTGAAACCCTGCACTGTGCTTTAATGAGAAATTAACATAACAATGATCTATCTAACCCGACTTTAGTATCTTCTCAGCTTGCCTTCCCAATAAATTCAGGTTGACTGCTTCCTGATTCCAGTTGTTGTTGTTGTTGTTGTTATGTGCCGTCAAGTCAGCCCTGACTCATAGCGACCCCTCCTTGGGTTTCCGAGGCAGTATCACTACGGAAGTAGGATTGCCCAACCTTCCTTCCGAGGAGTGGCTGATGGGTTTGAACCGCCAGCCATCTGGTGAGCAGTCAAGTGCCTTAGCCACTATGCTACCAGAGCTCCCCGATTCCAGTAGAATAAACTTAAAATAAATACATCCTGTTACACTAATATTGGTGTTTATCTGCTCCTATTTAGGTTTTTGACACACCTGCTATGGTAGTCAAGAATCTGACCCCTATTAAACTGTATAGTGTGTCCTCATTTCTGTGAAATAATATTGTAGATATATTCACAGAAAAACAATTTAGAATGTAAACTGTTAGTAATGGTTATCTTATGTGTGTTTTTAGGCGCCTTTGGAAAAACCTTTTTCTCTAGATTGCTGGGAAGTTGTTTTTTTTTTTTTTTTTTAGTGGAAAAATCCAATTATACTTAAACCCAAAAGGTTTCAATAACTAGATAAATAAATAATATCTAAATAACAAACAAAACCTGCAGATAAAGCCAGGCCCAGCACTGGGAGTCTCCGAGGAAGCTATTCAGCACTTTCTTCCCTCCACCCACACCCCCAGCGCTGAAAACAGCCAGGCCCCAGCCCCAGCCATGGAGACTGCATTCTTGGGAGCGACCTTGGGCACCCAAGTCTTCCTTCTCCACAAAGCCTATCTTCAATTCCTGCCTCCGACGGCTGAACGTGTTTTTCACAGTCTCGTCCCAGGACTGGAAGCCCCTGGGGGCCCAGATGAGACGGTGTACGTCACTAGGCCCAGGGTCCGCGCACTGGCAGGGACAGAGTCCGGTCCTAGCTACAACTGCGGTGCTGCCCCGCTGAGTCAGCCCGGCAGGCGGCGCGAGCGTTTCCGCGTGACTTGTGGCCACGTGATCCGCGCGGGGCGGAACAGCCAGAGTCGTCGCTGCAGCCACCGCGGGAGGCGTCCTCGTAAGTAGGGAGAGAGACTGGGGGACCCTTACTCGTGGGCAAGGCAAGGGTCTCCCTGCCCCAGTCCTCTAGCACCCTGGGGCCGGGACCCTGAGAGCTGCTCTGGCCCCTTCCCTGTGCGGATCGTTATCCAGGTGAGGTGAGCTCTCTGTTACCTACTAACGGCGGCGCAGAATGCTTCCGCTACGGGTCTTTTCCCTCAGACTGACCTTAGTGCCTGGGGGAGTAAAATTCTTCCTTCCAGAGTGATAACCATTATTCCATTGTGATTTGGGAAAACTGAGGTCAGAAGGGTTCACAAAGCTTGGAGGGCCAGTAGGAGCACCCCTCTCCCGATACTGATAGTGAACACACCGCTCCAAACGAAGCCTTTCTCTCGCTTGCTTTAGTGGCTCAAGATGATACATGACTTCTCTACTTCTTGAAGAAGAGTCCCTCCCTTGGGGTAGAGAGTATCAAGCCTGAGACTAAAAAAAAAAAAAACCAAACCCACTGCCATCTAGTCTATTCAGACTCATAGCACACTTAATTGGGTTTGCAAGGCTGTAAATTTTTACTGAAGTAGATTGCCCCATGTTCTTTCCTCAGAGCAGCTGGTAGGTTTGAACTGCTGACCTTCTGGTTAGCAGCCAGATGTCTTACCTGGTACACCACCAGAGTTCCTTAAGCCTGAATGGAAAGCCCTGGATGCTTAGGTGGAGCTACAAGATTAGTCAATGTATTGAATATGTGGGTTATGTCATTTCATATTCACCAGTGTGAAATCTGAGGTAAGTATTGCCATCAAGTCAGTAACGACTCTCAGTGACCCCACAGGGCAGGGTAAAACTGCCTCATAGGGTTTCCAGAGTTACAGTTTTTATGGGGTTAGAAGCACTGACCTTTTGGTTAACAGGTGAGCGCTTAACCACTGTGACATCTGGGAGGTCCTGTTATTGATGAAAGAGGAACTAAGATTAGAACCCAGATCTATCTCATCTTAGCACCTCCATTGCCTGGTGGAGACACTCTGCCCAACCTGTTCGTTCTTCTGTGAAATGAAAGGCGGCCTTCTGGCCATGACAGCTTGAGGGGATTGTTGCTGAGTGAGAAGGTCTTCCACCCTCCACCCCAACTATCTCCACCTTTTTCCATCTATGTCCTTTACCACTGACTTGCTTTTATCACCCCTTTACAGGACAAGATGAAGCTCATCATCCTAGACCACTATTCTGAGGCCAGCGAGTGGGCAGCCAAATACATCAGGAACCGCATCATCCAGTTTAACCCAGGGCCAGACAAGTACTTCACCCTTGGGCTTCCCACTGGTGCGTGCATTGTGGGATGGGAAGGGTATCAGGGATGGGGGAAGAAGTGGGCATCAGTGGCCTGTGAGGGGCCAAGATAGGTGGGTTCACTCAGCCAAGGGAGTTGAAGGAGGGCTTTGAGATAACTTATGCTTTGAAAGAGCACCACCCATGCTCCTTAGACAAGAAAACCAGAAGACCCAGTTTTCTTATGTGTCTGCTTAGTTCCTGCCCACATCTAAAGAGTCTTAGAGCAGAAGTGATACTGGTTAGGCAGAAAGAACTTGATTATTAGGCTACATCCTCAGTCAATCCTTGTTAACCAGGGTTAACAGAATTGGGTCCTAATACCCTAAGGTATCCATTTTATGTAGTGAATTGATTTATCATCTGTGCTTCTAGAGGGGCCCTACCTAAGTACCATCCTTGGCAAAATTGACAAGATAGTTGCTCATCATTTTCTGTAAGACTTAATTACACACAGGACCTTCATGGAAAACAGTTCTACTTTCTCTGGGAAGAAATCAGAATGTTGTCTTTTGACTCCAGCTTCTCAAGACAAATGACTCACCCATTAGAGGAGGGGTCTTCAGACTTTTTCTGTAAATGGCCAGATAGTGAATATTTTAGGTTTTGCTGGCCATAGTCTCTGGCAGAGCTCTTCTACTCAGCTGTAGACTGTACATAAATAAGTGTGGCTGTGTGCCAATAAAACTTTATTGATGGGCACTGAAGTTTGAATTTATATAATTTTCACTTCACAAAATAGTTGTCTTGTGATTTTTTTTTCCAACTATTTAAAAATGTGAAAATCATTTTTAATTTGTTGGCTATAGAAAAATAAGCCAACATTTACTAAACCCTGCTCTTGAAGTTTGGGGGAGTGGTATCTGCCTAGACCTATGAAACTGCCAGCATTTTAGGCCATGTGGGAGCTGCACTAACACCCTGTCTTCTAACTGTGGAGTGACCCAATCTCCATTTGGGTCAGAGTCTGGGCTTCTGCTTAAACTCCTCCCTAACTTCCTCATTTGCAGAATCAAATCCAAGTTCCTTAGAATGGCTTTTGAGGCCCACTAAGATGTGGCCCCTTTCTGCCTGTCACACTTGAACCACCACAGTATTGCCATGGGTTTCTTGGAACATTCCTTCTGTTATACGAAGAACCAGTCAGGGTTCTGGATAGAAATCACAGAAACTAGCTACAGCTAACTGAAGCAGCAAAGGAATGTATTGACTGAATACATTGGGGAGCTCAGAGAATTAGTAGGAAGCTAGAGGTTTGAATGAACAAATCTGTCCTGGAAGTGCAGCCGGAATGTTCCTTGTTAGAGAGAATGGCCAGACTTTGTCTCACCCACTTTGGTCGTCTTGTCAGAAGGGACAATTCCCTGGAGAAGGATGTCATGCTTGGTAGAGTGGAGGGTCAGAGAAAAAGAGGAAGACCCTCAACAAGATGGATTGACACAGTGGCTGCAGCAGTGGCCTCACATACAGCAAGTGTTGTGAAGCTGGCGCACGATCAGGCAGTGTTTTGTTCTAGTACATAGGGTTGCTCTGAGTTGGAGCTGACTTGACAGCACCTAACAACAACAAGGTTTGGAAAATAACAGAACAGGGGAAGCTATGTGGTCCAGGGGTAGCTAAAGCCTAACACAGGGATAGGCTGATTGTTTTGGGTGGACTGGGAAGAGGTACCACAATCATTCATTTGGGCAGATGTTTACTGAATACCCCCTGTAAGCCAAGCTGTTCTAGGTGCTGGGGAGATAGCAATGAACAAAAAGAACACAATTTCCTGCCTTACTCAAACTTAAATTATAGTGGGAGACACAGACAATAAACATGTTGTTTGGCAAAATATAGAGTATATTAGATGGTGATAAGAGGTAAGGAGGAAAATGAAACAGGGAAAGAAGATAGGGTTGTCTAGGCAGGGGTCAAAGGTTGCATTGTTGGATATGGTAGCAAGGATGGTCTCTCTGAGAAAGTGACATTTTCATAATTTTGAGATGAGAGTTAGCCATGCAGATACCTGAAGGAAGAGCATGCTGGCAGAGGGAACCAAATATACAGAGGCTATGAGGTGGAAGTGTGCTTGGAGCAGGGTGAGTAAAGGGGACAGAGGGAGCCAGGAGCCAGGTTATATAGGACTTTAATCAGGACCTATTTTATACTCAGTGAAATGAGAAGCCATCAGTGGGTTTTGAAAAGAGAAATGATCTGATCTGATTCCTTCCATCTTTTTTTTATAAAAATTTCAAATGTTTAAAGAAGTTGAAAGAATAGTATAGTGGCCCCTCAGACACCATTCATCAGTTATTAACATTTCGCCCCATTTGCTTTGGCCCCCCAGACACCATTCATCAGTTATTAACATTTTGTCCCATTTGCTTTAATAGCCATGGCTCATGTTCTCTCTGTACACATACATGTTGTGTTTTTTTTAAATGAACCATTTGATAGTAAATTCCAGACATCCTCTAAATCCTTTAGCACATATCTTTTAAGAATACAGACATTCTTTTTTATAACAGTACCATTATTATCACACTTAAAGTTAAAAATCATTCTACAATATCATCTAATATATAGACTATGTTTAAATTTTCTTAATTGTCCCACATACATTTATTTATTTATTTGTTTGTTTGTTTATTTCTTTCAAAGTATCCATTCAGGGTTCATGTAGTTCATCTAGTCTTTTAATTTACACTGATCCTCCTGCGCTTTTTTTTTTTTAATTTTTATTGTGATTTGGGTGAAAGTTTACAGAGCAAATTCATTTTCCATACAGCAGTTCATACACATTTTGTTTCATGACATTGACTACAATTTCCCACAGTGTAATAGCTCTCTTCCCACTTCCTCTCTGTAGTTACCTCTTCTCTGTGTCCTTCCCTCCCATGCACTCCCGCCCCACTCCTGGCACCAGCTCTCTTCCTGTGCAAACACTGCCCTTCTGTTCTCCCACAATTGATCGCTACAAGGATTGTATCTACCTTATGTAAATATTCATTTTATATGCCTGTCTTTTGTTTGGCTGGAAGCCATAGGAGTGAGTTCAATTCCAGACCTGAAGGGTAACTACGTGCTGTATTCTCAAGGGTCTCACCAAGCTCTATCAGACCAGTAAACCTGGTCTTTTTTATGATTTTTAGTTTTGTTCACATTGTTCTCCCACTCTATCCAGGATCTCCTGTACCACGCTCTGAGTGGTTGACAGTAGTAGGCCAGGCACCATTTAGTTCTCTGGTCTCCTGGTAATATAGGCTGAGGATCACATGGTCTATTAATCCCTTGGACTAATTGTTTCCATGCATCTTTGGATTCTTCATTCTTTGCTGTGGATGAGGAGAGACTCATCATTGCATCCAGATGGCTGCTTGCAAGCTTTTAAGACTCCAGTCACTACTCACCAAAATCGGGTATAGAACAATGATTTGTGTAGTATGTTGTGCCAACTTAGCTTGATGTCCCCTGTGACCATGGTCTTGAGCCCACAGGTCCAACTACTCACTCAGGATAGCTATCCCTTGTCAGCTCTACTATACACCTGGAAATTCTTATATCACTTGTAAATATGCTTGTAGACATACCATCTGCCAACCTTATATATGGTTATGGGCACACTCCTCCATGCCTAGACATACATCATCATTCAGCCTATCTACCCATCTATCCACACATAGATCAATGCTTGCCATCCCTGACAGTGCAATACTGTACATGCAAAAGGGTTCATCTTTGTTGTCTGTACCTCCCATGTACCTCTCTATGTCTTCCTCTTCCTCAGTGCCACCATGTTGGTCACTCAGTTTTGATACATTGCTCTTCCCTTCACCCAAATCAGTACTTGTCTCTACCTATCTAGCAGTGTTCCCTCCCCTTCCCTCCCATCCCTGGTAACCAACAAAGAAAGTTTCCTTCCATATATAAACCTTTCCTTGACTTTTCACAATAGTGAACAAATACAATATTTGTCCTTCTGTGATTGACTTATTTCACTCAGCATAATGTCCTCCAAGTTCATCCACGTTATGTGGTGTTTCACATATTCTACATTATTCTTTGTTGTTGTTGTCGTTACGTGCCATCAAGTCGGACCCGAGTCATAGTGACGCCTCCTTGGATTTCCAAGGCAGTATCACTACAGAAGTAGATTGCCCCATCTTCCTTCTGAGGAGTGGCTGGTGGGTTTGAACCGCCAGCCTTCTGGT